GTTATTATATTTAGTATAGAAGTATATATGTAAAAAGGGAATTCTATTACACAATTTTAAAATTTTAGATTATAATTTTTACCCAGAATTATTGAACGAATGAGAAAGTAGAAATCAATATATTTTATTGGGAATAGAGATTTTTTAGGAATTGGGCGGGAAGTTAAAATTCTAGGGTTTTTTTATTATATATTGTATATAGATATAGAAGTACAAAGGGAATTGTATTACACAATTTTAAAATTTTAGAATTGAATTTTTACACAGAATTATTGTACGAATGGGAAAGTAGAAATCAATATATTTTATTGGGAATAGAGATTTTTTAGGAATTGGGCGGGAAGTTAAAATTCATGGATTTTGTTATTATATATATAGTATAGATGTAAAAAGGGAATTGTATTACACAATTTAAAAATTTTAGAATAGAATTTTACCCAGAATTATTGTACAAATGGGAAGTAGAAATCAATATATTTTATTGGAAAGAGAGATTTTTTAGCAATTGGGCAGGAAGTTAAAATTTCAGGATTTTGTTATTATATATTGTATAGAAGTATAAATGTACAAAGGGAATTGTATTACACAATTTTAAAATTTTAAAATAAAATTTTTACACAGAATTATTGTAAGAATGAGAAAGTAGAAATCAATATATTTTATTGGGAAGAGAGATTTTTTAGGAATTTGGCGGGAAGTTAAAATTCCAGGATTTTGTTATTATATATAGTATAGATGTACAAAGGGAATTTTATTACATAATTTTAAAATTTTAGAATAGAATTTTTACCGAGAATTATTGTACGAATGGGAAAGTAGAAATATATATATTTTATTTGAAAGAGAGATTTTTTAGGAATTGGATGGGATGTTAAAATTCCAGGATTTTGTTATTATATATAATATAGAAGTATATATGTACAAAGGGAATTGTATTACACAATTTTAAAATTTTAGAATAGAATTTTTACCCAGAATTATTGAACGAATGAGAAAGTAGAAATCAATATATTTTATTGGGAATATAGATTTTTTAGGAATTGGGCGGTAAGTTAAAATTCCAGGATTTTTTTATTATATATTGTATATAGATATAGAAGTACAAAGGGAATTGTATTACACAATTTTAAAATTTTAGAATTGAATTTTTACACAGAATTATTGTACGAATGGGAAAGTAGAAATCAATATATTTTATTGGGAAGAGAGATTTTTTAGGAATTGGGCGGGAAGTTAAAATTCTTGGATTTTGTTATTATATATATAGTATAGATGTACAAAGGGAATTGTATTACACAATTTAAAAATTTTAGAATAGAATTTTACGCAGAATTATTGTACGAATGGGAAGTAGAAATCAATATATTTTATTGGAAAGAGAGATTTTTTAGCAATTGGGCGGGAAGTTAAAATTCCAGTATTTTGTTATTATTGTTAGTGTTACTAATATTTAATAATGTTTTATCATATGCTTTGTATTAGTGGTTCTCTCTCCTTTGGTTTAGTCTTACCTAGAGTGTAGGAGACTATAGTGGGAGTCTCTCTATAGATCTCTATCTGATGTATTTTGGTAAGATTAGATTTTGAAATTCAAAACTCCCGTTCTCATCTGGTATCAGCTGCGTAAGGTTCCTTACGATTCCCAAACACCCAACCCACGCCCCTCTTCCAACGCGAAAAGAACCGGCTATGTCGTCCAATTCATCTGAACGGACGATCACCACCACCTCCCCATCAGCGCCGGTGACCAACTCCCTAACTTCAGCACACCATTTCGTCACAATGAAGCTCACTACCCACAATTTTTTGTTCTGGCGTACCCAGCTTGTACCGTTTCTTCGAGGCCAGGGCTTACTCGGTTACATCGATGGCGAAATCCCCTATCCACCGGCGATGATCACCACTGTCCAATAGTCCGGCAGCTCCACGGCGGTTGCCACTACCTCCGAACCAGTCCCCAATCCGGCGTACGGCTCTTGGATTCAGCAAGATCAGTCCATACTATCACTGATCATCTCCTCCCTCTCCGACGAGGTGATGCACCTCGCCGTCGCCGGAGCACTTCGAGGGAGGTCTGGCTGTCCATTACATCGGCGTTAGCTTCATCCACCCGCGCACGGTGTTTAAGCCTCTTAGGGCAGTTTCAAATCCTCAGACAAGGGAATGGAACGTCGGCCGAGTACCTGGGGAAAGCACAGCTGCTTGTGGAGGCATTGTCTCTTGTCGGTCGCCCGTTGTCACTGGATGAGCAGATCCTTTACGTCCTCAGAGGGCTCCGACCGGAGTACAGGGCGTTGGCCAGCAGCCTCACCGTGACTGGTACGCCGGTCACACTGCCTCAGCTAGCCGATCTGCTCCAGGCGCAGGAGTTCATCATATCTGATGAATTCCCGGTGGCCGGTCACTCAGAACTCGCTGGATCTCCGGCGGCCTTCTATGCAGGTCACGGTCAAAATCACAGCGGGCATCCGAACTCCGGTGGGCGGCAAAATTCTGGAGGTGGCAGTAAGGGTGGTCGAGGCGGCGGTCGCGGCAGAAATGGCAGAGGAGGGCGTGGTAATGGACCAAAATGTTAGATTTGCAAAGCTTTTGGCCATACTGCCTATTATTGCTACCAGCGTTACAATGAACGTTCACCGCCGAATGCTAATGTCGCCGTGGAAAATCAAGACAATGCCCTCTCGGGTGATGCTTGGTTTCCCGATACAGGAGCGTCTACACACGCTACCCCTGATGAACAGATGATGAGCCATTCGGATCCGTACACCGGTGGAGATGTTTTGAAGGTCGGCAACGGCGTAGGTTTGGGGATTTCCCGTGTGGGCCATGCCGTTATTCCTTCCGTGTCCAATAATTTACACATGTCTCGTATATTACACATGCCTAAATTATCGTTACCTCTTTTATTCGTTCATCAGTTTACTAACGAAAATAATGTATACTTTGAGTTTCATAAAAATCTTTTCTTTGTGAAGGACTGCACCACCAAGGCAATTCTTCTTAAAGGTGACACCTCGGGCGGCTTATACAAATTGTTTATGCCACGGTCCCATTTTGCGTACATATCGGCGCGGGCTTCCTCCACAGTGTGGCATCAGCGGTTAGGTCACCCGCATCATCGAGTCCTACAGCGTGTCTTGAAAGATTGTCCAGTCACAACAAATAATACCAGTTCGTCTGAAGTGTGTACGGCGTGTCAACTTGGCAAATCGGCACGTTTTAATTTAGATAGAGTACCCACTTCTAGTTTCAATGTATTAGATTTAATCTATACGGACATATGGGGTCCGTCTCCCGTTATTTCTGATTCTGGTAGTCGCTACTTTGTTTTATTTGTAGACGATCACTCTCGTTTTACCTGGTTTTATCCCTTACGGATTAAAACCGATATATATATAATTTTTGAGTTGTTCAGGGCAATGGTAGAACGACGTTTTTCGCGTTCTATCAAAGCCATTCAGTCTGATTTGGGAGGCGAATATCGCCGCCTCCATAAAGTGTTTGAGTCTCTTGGTATTTCACACCGACAATCGTGTGCATATACTCATGAGCAAAACGGTCGAGTCGAACGCCGAAACCGGCACATAGTCGAAACTGGCCTGGCTTTAATGGCTGAAAGTTCAACCCCACTAAAATATTGGGACTGTGCCTTCGAAACAGCCACCTATCTAATAAATTGTCTCCCATCTTCAGCTATACAATTTCAAAGTCCACACTATATGATATACAAAACCCAACCTATATATACTTTCCTCCGTGTCTTCGGGTGCTGGTGTTATCCTTATCTAAGGCCTTATAATCGGCACAGGATAGAATATCGCTCGGCACCCTGTATCTTCCTAGGTTACCCTGTTTCCTTTAGGGGATATCGGTGCATGGACCCCCGCACGGGGAAAATCTTTATCTGCCGTCACGTTCGATTTGACAAAACTATTTTTCCATTTGCTATGCAGTCTACACAGGTTAACGCCCGCTCAACACCGCCTGTGCCATGGGGTGCTGGGCCAATAGTGGTCCACAATGACTATCAACCCACAAGTCATACACCACCACTGCCACAAGAGCCGGAGCCTGTCGCTCTACCAGCTCCCACCGGGCCAAAACCACGTGGCCGCAAGCCCCGGGCCACAACGGGTCCACCTCCGGACCCATCGCATACAATGCGGACTCGGCGCAAGACTCATGGGTCAAATGAAGAATTTCATGCTTTAACTATCACTGCGGATCCAACTTGCTACTCCCAAGCCGTGGGTCACCCACATTGGCGTGACGCCATGGATCAGGAGTTCAATGCCCTTTTACATAATAATACCTGGCAATTAATTCCAGCTACTCCAACTATGAACATCATCGGCTGCAAGTGGGTATTTCGCACCAAACGTAAGGCTGACGGTATAATTGAAAGATACAAGGCTCGCTTAGTCGCAAAAGGGTTCAACCAAGTAGCTGGGGAGGACTTTTTTGACACTTTCAGTCCCGTAGTCAAACCAACTACGGTTCGTCTATTGTTCTCGCTGGCTGTCTCGAACCGATGGACTCTATGGCAGTTAGACGTTCACAACGCTTTTCTGAATGGACACCTAGCCGAGACAGTTTATATGAAACAGCCTCCGGGTTATGAGGACCCAGCGCGTCCGGGCCATGTATGTCATTTGCAGCGCTCTCTATACGGTCTAAAGCAAGCACCACGGGCCTGGTTCAAGCGGCTACACGAGTACTTAACATCAGCAGGTTTTTCGGCCTCCAAGACTGATGTCTCACTGTTTCATTACACTACTGGTGGCTCACGGGTTTTTCTGCTGGTGTACGTTGACGACATTATCTTAATGGGCAACGACTCACCACTCATTGATACCATGCTACAGCGTCTATCAACGGTCTTTAAAATTCGGGATTTGGGAACACCATGATTTTTCTTGGGCATTTAAACGCTTCCGGTAGACAGTGGGCTTCTCTTATCTCAGCGCAGGTATATGAAGGACATTCTAGTCCGAGCGGGCATGGCAGAATGTAAACCCTTGACTACTCCAGCTGCTGTCACACAATCCGCCACGCCGTCGACGGATGAGTTCGAAAATCCTACACAGTACCGTCGACTAGTAGGGGCTCTACAGTATCTGACTATCACCCAACCGGACCTAGCTTACGCGGTCAATAGGCTGTGTCAGTTCATGCACACGCCAACGGATGAACATTGGGGCTTGCTTAAGAGAGTTCTACGCTACGTCAAGGGGACACAAGAGTACGGCCTACGTCTCACACCGTCATCTAGCACCGACATACATGCTTATTCAGATTCAGACTGGGCCGAGTGCCCGGTCGACAGGAAGTCAACCAGTGGCTATGCAGTCTATCTTGGTACTAATTTGGTATCATGGTTGTCACGGAAGCAGCGCACCGTGGCACGGTCATCGACAGAGGCAGAGTACAAGGGCCTTGCAGATGTTTCGGCAGAGGTCACCTAGATCGTATCACTTCTCTGGGAACTTGGGCTGCATTCCGGGAAACCGGCTACTCTATGGTGTGATAATCTTGGCACGACTTATCTGGCGGCCAACCCGGTTTTTCATGCCAGGACAAAACACGTGGAAGTCGACTATCATTTTGTTCGGGACAAGGTAGCTTCCGGAGAATTCATTGTCAGTTTTGTGTGTACGAAAGATCAGTTAGCAGACATCTTCACCAAACCGTTGCCTGCCCCACGGTTCCAAGCTCTTCGGAACAAGCTCAATGTCGTCTCACAACCCCCTTGAGCTTGAGGGGGTGTGTTAGTGTTATTAATATTTAATACTGTTTTATCATATGCTTTGTATTAGTGGTTCTCTCTCCTTTGGTTTAGTCTTACCTAGAGTGTAGGAGACTATAGTGGGAGTCTCTCTATAGATCTCTATTTGATGTATTTTGGTAAGATTAGATTTTGAAATTCAAAACTCCCGTTCTCATCATTATATATAGTATAGATGTACAAAAGGAATTGTATTAAACAATTTTTAAATTTTAGAACAGAATTTTTACACAGAATTATTGTACGAATGAGAAAGTCGAAATCAGTATATTTTATTGGAAATAGAGATTTTTTAAGGAATTTGGCGGGAAGTTAAAATTCCAGGATTTTGTTATTATATATAGTATAGAAGTACAAAGGGAATTGTATTACACAATTTTAAAATTTTAGAATAGAATTTTTACCCAAAATTTTTGTACGAATGGGAAAGTAGAAATTGTTAGCATATATTATTTTGTCTCATTATCTTTGTATAATATATAGTTTATATTATGTGGTAGTATTATTAGATTGTTACATCTGATCTATTAGTCAGGGTTTGTTAGAGTCCTTGTAGACATATACTTTGTATTCTTCTCAGAAATAGTTATCGAATGAAAGCTATTCTCTAATCTGGTATCAGCCGGGATATCGATCTTTCATCAATCTCCACCGTAAATTTCCCCCTCTTTTCCCATACAAACTCATCGGAATGTCGTCCCACTCTTCCGAACGTACAGTCTCCGCTGCCGGCACCCCGTCTCCGGCCGGCGGGCCGTCTCTCGCCGGCGCTCATCATTACGTGACGATGAAACTCACGTCACGTAACTTCTTGTTTTGGCGCGCCCAGCTAATTCCCTTTCTCCGGGGTCAAGAGCTGCTGGGCTTTGTTGACGGTTCTCTTCCGTGTCCACCGGAAACCGTCACTGCTGCTCCGTCATCGGAGGGATCGTCGGCAGGCACCACCGCGGCGACCATCGTTCCCAATCCGGACCACCGGGCATGGGTGAAACAGGATCAATCGATCCTGTCTCTCCTGATTTCATCCATGTCGGATGAAGTGCTGCATTTAGCGCTTGGCCGAACTACATCGGCAGAGATATGGCAATCCATCACCTCCGCACTCGGATCCTCAAGCCAAGCCCGCTGTCTCAATCTTCTCGGGCAATTCCAGGTGCTCCGTCAGGGTAACTCCACGACTGCAGAGTATCTAGGCCGAGCCAGGGTTCTCGTCGAGGCTTTAGCTCAGGCCGGTCGGCCTCTCTCTCTGATGGAGCAAAATTTGTACGTGCTCCGTGGACTCCGACCGGAACTGAAGGCCATGGCAGCGTCTTTCACCTCCGGGAATGCCGTGCCGCTATCACATCTCTCCGATTACCTCCAGGCACATGAATTCATCCTTGTGGATGACTATCCCATCGGCGACTCCACTGCTTCCCATTCGGCGTTTTATGCAGGCCCTGGTCGCGGCTCATCCGGTGGCGGCAGGCAGTCGCAGCAGTCCGGCCGTGGCGGCAAGAATCGTGGAGGCGGACGCGGTGGACGCGGGGGTCCGCGGTGTCAAATTTGTCGCAGTCATGGACACTCGGCCATGTACTGCTACAAAAGGTACCACCCGCAACCTCCACCGCAGGCGAACATGGCAGTGCCGGCGGATGTCCCAGCTCCGGTGCAAGCTCCGGCCGATGGGTGGTATCCGGACACCGGAGCCACCGCACACGCTACACCGGACGCAACCATGATGGGGCAGTCGGAGGAGTACGGCGGCACGGACGTGCTTCGCGTGGGTAATGGCGCAGGTTTGGTTATTTCACGCGTTGGTCGCGCATCAATCCCTTCCGTGTCAAAATCCCTTTGTTTAAACGATATATTGCATGTCCCGAGTCTATCTGTTCCATTATTATCTGTGCACAAATTTGCTGTTGATAATAAGGTTTATTTTGAATTTCATGATTCGTGTTTTATTGTGAAGGATTCGTTAACCAAAGCGGTCCTGCTTAGAGGTCCTGCCACGGGCGGCCTGTACAAGCTTCCAGTGTCAAAGTCCAATTTCGCGTTTGTCAGTTCCCGGGCAACTCCCACCACTTGGCATCAACGGCTTGGACACCCGCACAAAAATGTTCTTAATAAAATTCTACAAGTTTTCCCGGTCATTCCCAATAAAACCTCGCCAATTGAGTCCTGCACCTCGTGTCATCTCGGGAAATCATCGCGGTTCAAGTTAGATAGTGTGCCACATTCTAGCAAAAATGTACTAGATCTCATATATACTGATGTTTGGGGTCCGTCCCCTGTACTATCTGTTAGTGGTTTTCGCTATTTTTGCCTTTTGTAGATGATTTTTCCCGATTTACCTGGTTTTATCCATTATGGGTAAAATCGGACATTTATAAAATATTCGAGTCGTTCCGTGTGTTGGTTGAACGTCAATTCGGGCGGTCAATTAAGTCAATCCAGTCGGATCTAGGGGGTGAGTATCGAAAATTACATGCCACATTCCAAACTCTTGGCATAAATCACCGTCAGTCATGTGCTTACACACATGAGCAAAACGGGCGAGTAGAGCGCCGTAATCGACACATCGTTTAAACGGGTCTAGCTTTACTTGCTGAAGGCAAAGTACCCCATCACTACTGGGATTACGCCTTCGAAACTGCTACATGTTTAATCAACTACTTACCCTCCTCAGCCATACACTATGAAAGTCCATATAGCCGATTATTCAAAGTCACTCCACCATACACATTTCTCCGTGTCTTCGGGTGTCGGTGTTACCCATATCTGCGCCCATATAATAGGCACAAGATTGAGTACCGCTCCACCCCGTGTGTCTTCCTAGGTTACCCTGTTTCTTTTAGGGGATACAGATGCGTTGATTTAGCTAGTGGAAAAACTTATATCTGCCGCCATGTGCGTTTTGATGAAAACGTTTTTCCGTTTTCTACAGCTTGTTTGCAACAGGAACAGCCGCAACCTGAGTCACCTTGGGCCGTGGTGCCAATTGTCCCGGTGGGTCAGGCTGGTTCACCGCGTGATCAGTCGGAACCAGGACCACCTATTGTTCCGGAAGATGAACCACAACCGCTGGCTCATGCACCACCGCAACTTGCAATCACAAACACCGCCCCGGCTAGACCCCGCCGCAAAGCTCGTGCTCAACCACAGGGCCGTGATCATGTTATGCGACTACGGCACATGACAAAAGGCTCAGACGAGCCCTTTCAGGCACTAACTGTCAGTGCCGACCCTACCTGCTACTCACAAGCAGTTGGCCATTCCCATTGGCGGGAGGCCATGGATGCTGAGTTTAACGCTTTATTACACAACCACACTTGGCGGCTGGTGGCACCTGAACCCCACATGAATATAATAGGGTGTAAATGGGTGTTTCGCACCAAGCGCAAAGCCGATGGCTCGGTTGAGCGCTATAAAGCCCGATTGGTTGCGAAAGGCTTCAATCAAGTCGCAGGGGAGGACTTCTTTGACACCTTTAGCCCTGTGGTGAAACCAACCACACTCCGGATGCTGTTCTCCTTGGCGGTCTCCAACAGCTGGACGCTACGCCAGTTAGATGTCCATAATGCTTTTCTTAATGGACATCTAGCTGAGACTGTTTATATGAAACAGCCCCGGGATATGAAGATCCAATGACCCCTGGTCATGTGTGTCACCTTCAGCGATCTCTTTATGGTCTAAAGCAGGCACCGAGGGCCTGGTTTAAACGGCTTCATGATTTTTTTGTTATCTGCAGGTTTTCGGTCCTCCAAGACCGATGTTTCGTTGTTTTACTACACTGCAGAACAATCCCGTGTGTTCTTGCTGGTCTATGTCGACGACATTATTATGATGGGCAACAACGACGACCTTGTCACCACTCTACTTAAGCAATTATCCACAGCTTTCAAAATTCGTGACTTAGGTTCACCGGGCTTCTTCTTAGGTATTGAGACGGTTCGGACAGGTGATGGTCTGCTGTTATCACAACGTCGCTACATGACGGATCTCCTGGGTCGCTCAGGCATGGTAGACTGCAAGCCTCTCACCACTCCGACCTCTGTTACTAAAGTGGTCACGCCGTCCGACACCCCTTACGAGAACCCGACACAGTACAGGCGCATTGTCGGGGCCTCACAGTATTTAACCATCACGAGGCCAGATCTTGCTTATGCTGTCAACCGACTATGCCAATTCATGCACTCACCAACAGTCGACCATTGGAATCTAGTCAAACGTGTTCTCCGTTACGTTAAAGGAACTCTGGATTATGGGTTACAACTAACACCGTCATCGTCGACCACCATTCACGCCTACTCAGATTCGGACTGGGCAGGTTGTCCGATAGACAGGAAGAGTACTACTGGGTTTGCTGTTTATCTTGGTTCTAATCTCATATCGTGGCTATCCAAGAAGCAACGTACGGTAGCCCGGTCATCGACTGAAGCCGAGTACAAAGCTCTCGCTGATGTGTCTGCTGAAGTCACGTGGGTTGTCTCTTTACTGCAGGAACTCGGTCTTCATTCTGGTGGTCCAGCAACGCTATGGTGCGATAATCTTGGGGCGACTTACCTGTGCGCCAATCCAGTTTTTCACGCACGCACCAAACATGTGGAAATTTACTACCATTTTGTTCGTGATAAAGTTGCATCAGGGGATTTTGTTGTCAATTATGTGTCCACTACAGATCAACTAGCCGATATACTGACTAAGCCACTACCTTCTACACGGTTTGCAGCTCTACGGGACAAGCTCAATGTTGCTATGCTGCCACCTTGTGCTTGAGGGGGTGTGTTAGCATATATTATTTTGTCTCATTATCTTTGTATAATATATAGTTTATATTATGTGGTAGTATTATTAGATTGTTACATCTGATCTATTAGTCAGGGTTTGTTAGAGTCCTTGTAGACATATACTTTGTATTCTTCTCATAAACAGTTATCGAATGAAAGCTATTCTCTAATCGAAATCAATATATTTTATTGGGAAGAGAGACTTTTTAGGAATTGGGTGGGAAGTTAAAATTCCAGGGTTTTTTATTATATATAGTATAGATGTACATAGGGAATTGTATTACACAATTTTAAAATTTGAGAATAGAATTTTTACCTAGAATTATTTTACGAATGGGAAAGTAGAAATCAATATAATTTATTGGGAAGAGAGATTTTTTAGGAATTGGGCGGGATGTTAAAATTCCAGGATTTTGTTATTAAATATAGTATAGAAGTATAAATGTACAAAGGGATTTGTATTACACAATTTTTAAATTTTAGAATAGAATTTTTACACAGAATTATTGTACGAATGGGAAAGTCGAAATCAGTATATTTTATTGGAAATAGAGATTTTTTAGGAATTTGGCGGAAAGTTAAAATTCCAGGATTTTGTTATTATATATAGTATAGATGTACAAAGGGAATTGTATTATACAATTTTAAAATTTTAGAATAGAATTGTTACCCAAAATTTTCGTACGAATGGGAAAGTAGAAATCAGTATATTTTATTGGGAAGAGAGACTTTTTAGGAATTGGGCGGGAAGTTAAAATTTCAGGGTTTTTTATTATATATAGTATAGATGTACAAAGGGAATTGTATTACACAATTTTAAAATTTTAGAATAGAATTTTTACCCAGAATTATTGTATGAATGGGAAAGTAGAAATCAATATATTTTATTGGGAAGAGAGATTTTTTAACAATTGGGCGGGAAGTTAAAATTCCAGGATTTTGTTATTATATATAGTATAGAAGTACAAAAGGAATTGTATAAAACAATTTTTAAATTTTAGAATAGAATTTTTAAACAGAATTATTTTACGAATGGGAAAGTCGAAATCAGTATATTTTATTGGAAATAGAGATTTTTTTAGGAATTTGGCGGGAAGTTAAAATTCCAGGATTTTGTTATTATATATATTATAGATTATAGATTATAGATGTACAAAGAGAATTGTATTACACAATTTTAAAATTTTAGAATAGAATTGTTACCCAAAATTTTTGTACGAATGGGAAAGTAGAAATCAATATATTTTATTGGGAAGTGAGACTTTTTAGGAATTGGGCGGGAAATTAAAATTCCAGGGTTTTTTATTATATATAGTATAGATGTACAAAGGGAATTGTATTACACAATTTTAAAATTTTAGAATAGAATTTTTACCAAGAATTATTGTACGAATGAGAAAGTAGAAATCAATATATTTTATTGGGAAGAGATATTTTTTAGGAATTGGGCGGGATGTTAAAATTCCAGGATTCTGTTATTATATATAGTATAGAAGTATAAATGTACAAAGGGATGTGTATTACACAATTATAAAATTTTAGAATAGAATTTTTACCCAGAATTGTTGTACGAAAGGGAAAGTAGAAATCAATATATTTTCGTGGGAAGAGAGATTTTTTAGGAATTGGACGGGAAGTTAAAATTCCAGGATTTTGTTATTATATATAGTATAGATGTACTAAGGGAATTGTATTACACAATTTTAAAATTTTAGAATAGAAATTTTACACAGAATTATTGTACGAATGGGAAAGTAGAAATCAATATATTTTCGTGGGAAGAGAGATTTTTTAGGAATTGGACGGGAAGTTAAAATTCCAGGATTTTGTTATTATATATAGTATAGATGTACTAAGGGAATTGTATTACACAATATTAAAATTTTAGAATAGAATTTTTACACAGAATTATTGTACGAATGGGAATGTAGAAATCAATATATTTTTTTGGGAAGAGAGATTTTTTAGGAATTTGGCGGGAAGTTAAAATTCCAGGATTTTGTTATCATATATAGTATAGATATAGATGTACAAAGGGAATTGAATTACACAATTTTAAAATATTAGAATAGAATTTTTACCCAGAATTATTGTACGAATGGGAAATTAGAAATCAACATATTTTATTGGGAAGAGAGATTTTTTAGGAATTTGGCGGGAAGTTAAAATTCTAGGATTTTGTTATTATATATAGTATAGATGTACAAAGGGAATTGTATTACACAATTTTAAAATTTTAGAATTGAATTTTTACCGAGAATTATTGTACGAATGGGAATGTAGAAATATACATATCTTATTTGAAAGAGAGATTTTTTAGGAATTGGGCGGGATGTTAAAATTCCAGGATTTTGATATTATATATAGTATATAAGTATAGATGTACAAAGGGAATTGTATTACACAATTTTAAAATTTTAGAATAGAATTTTTACACAGAATTATTGTACGAATGGGAAAGTAGAAATCAATATATTTTATTGGGAAGAGAGATTTTTTATGAATTGGCCGGGAAGTTAAAATTCCAGGATTTTGTTATTGTATATAGCATATATAGATGTACAAAGGAAATTGTATTACACAATTTTTAAATTTTGGAATAGAATTTTTGCCTAGAATTATTGTACGAAAGGCAAAGTAGAAATCAATATATTTTATTGGGAAGAGAGATTTTTTAGGAATTGGGCGGGATGTTAAAATTCCAGAATTTGGTTATTATATATAGTATAGAAGTATAAATGTACAAAGGGATTTGAATTACACAATTTTTAAATTTTTGAATAGAATTTTTACCCATAATTTTTGTACAAATGGGAAAGTAGAAATCAATATATTTTCGTGGGAAGAGAGATTTTTTAGGAATTGGACGGGAAGTTAAAATTCAGGATTTTGATATTATATATAGTATAGATGTACTAAGGGAATTGTATTACACAATTTTAAAATTTTAGAATAGAAATTTTACCCAGAATTATTGTACGAATGGGAAGTAGAAATCAATATATTTTATAGGAAAGAGACATTTTTTAGCAATTGGGCGGGAAGTTAAAATTCCTGGATTTTGTTAATATATATTGTATAGAAGTATAGATGTACAAAGGGAATTGTATTCCACAATTTTAAAATTTTAGAATAGAATTTTTACCCAGAATTAATGTACGAATGGGAAAGTAAAAATCAATATATTTTATTGGGAATAGAGATTTTTTAGGAATTGGGCGGGAAGTTAAAATTCCAGGATTTTTTTATTATATATTGTATATAGATATAGAAGTACAAAGGGAATTGTATTACACAATTTTAATATTTTAGAATAGAATTTTTACACAGAATTATTGTACGAATCGTAAAGTAGAAATCAATATATTTTATTGGGAGGAGAGATTTTTTAGGAATTGGGCGGGAAATTAAATTTCTTGGATTTTGTTTTTATATATAGTATAGATTGATGCACAAAGGGAATTGAATTACACATTTTAAAAATTTTAGAATAGAATTTTACCCAGAATTATTGTACGAATGGGAAGTAGAAATAAATATATTTTATTGGAAAGAGAGATTTTTTAGCAATTGGCCGGGAAGTTAAAATTCCAGGATTTTGTTATTATATATAGTATAGACGTACATAAGGAATTGTATTAAACAATTTTTAAATTTTAGAATAGAATTTTTACACAGAATTATTGTACGAATGGGAAAGTCGAAATCAGTATATTTTATTAGAAATAGAGATTTTTTTAGGAATTTGGCGGGAAGTTAAAATTCTAGGATTTCGTTGTTATATATAGTATAGAAGTATAGATGTACAAAGGGAATTGTATTACACAATTTTAAAATTTTAGAATAGAATTTTTACCCAAAATTTTTGTACGAATGAGAAAGTAGAAATCAATATATTTTATTGGGTAGAGAGACTTTTTAGGAATTGGGCGGGAAGTTAAAATTCCAGGATTTTTTATTATATATAGTATAGATGTACAAAGGGAATTGTATTACACAATTTTAAAATTTTAGAATAGAATTTTTACCCAGAATTATTGTACGAATGGGAAAGTAGAAATCAATATATTTTATTGGGAAGAGATATTTTTTTGGAATTGGATAGGAAGTTAAAATTTCAGGATTTTGTTATTATATATAGTATAGATGTACTAAGGGAATTGTATTATTCAATTTTAAAATTTTAGAATAGGATTTTTACCCAGAATTATTGTACAAATGGGAAAGTAGAAATCAATATATTTTCGTGGGAAAAGAGATTTTTTAGGAATTGGACGGGAAGTTAAAATTCCAGGATTTTGTTATTATATGTAGTATAGATGTACAAAGGGAATTGTATTACACAATTTTAAAATTTTAGAATAGAATTTTTACCCAGAATTATTGTACGAATGGGAAAGTAGAAATCAATATATTTTATTGGGAAGAGATATTTTTTAAGAATTGGACAGGAAGTTAAAATTTCAGGATTTTGTTATTATATATAGTATAGATGTACTAAGGGAATTGTATTACTCAATTTTAAAATTTTAGAATAGGATTTTTACCCAGAATTATTGTACAAATGGGAAAGTAGAAATCAATATATTTTCGTGGGAAAAGAGATTTTTTAGGAATTGGACGGGAAGTTAAAATTCCAGGATTTTGTTATTATATGTAGTCTAGATGTACTAAGGGAATTGTATTACACAATTTTAAATTTTTAGAATAGAATTTTTACCCAGAGTTATTGTACGAATGGGAAAGTAGAAATCAATATATTTTATTGGGAAGAGAGATTTTTTAGGAATTGGGCGGGAAGTTAAAATTCTAGGATTTTGTTATTATATATAGTATAGATGTACAAAGGGAATTTTATTACACAATTTTAAAATTTTAGAATAGAATTTTTACCTAGAATTATTGTACGAATGGGAATGTAGAAATATATATATTTTATTTGAAAGAGAGATTTCTTAGGAATTGGGCGGGATGTTAAAATTCCAGGAT